GTTTTGTCCATTTTTTTGTGATTTCAGGTTATTTTGAAAGGTAAAGTTTTCACGCGCAAAAAAGGTTGAAATTTGCGCGTGAAAGAATTTGTTTAAGAAAGCATGAAATCAAACTTCTAGAATGGAGAAAAGCTTCAGATTGTTACATTTTACCATCCTAAACCTCATACTAGTAACTTTTCCATGTATTTCTTACAAATTCAAGTGATTTTCAAAAGGACAGGTTTTATGGAAATTATGCAAATTAGCTTATTCCCAAGGGACCAACATTTTCAAACAAAAATTTTGGCTGACAGAGGGAAAATTATACCAGAGGACAACATTTTCCTGCCTAAGAATTTGGTACTGCATATTTTCTAACATATTTCTAAGACTTTTATTTTTCACGCGCAAATTTTTCACGCGCAAGTTTTTCACGCGCAAATTCTTCACGCGCAGAAAACCCGTTCCCATGAGAGACATACCTGTGAACATGGCGTAGAAGTAGTTACTGAAGGACGCCAGGACGACCTTATGTGCGTAGAGCGTCTTTCCCTCCACGCTGATCTCCACGTCGCATAGCTGACTGCCGCGCCGTAACGTGTTCATCGTGATCAGCGCCTTGTTGGCGAATCTCTTCTCTGCCTCGTGCACGACAAAGTCCGCCTTCCCCGTCTGCTCGATTTTATCAAAATCCATCCTAGAATAGCGGGAATTAAATGCTGTTAATTCACATCAATTTCACATCAATTCATAGTTTTAGATAAATACCTGTACGACGTAGAACATATGCTGTTAGTCTGTGAATAGTTTCATAAGTCACTGAATACGGTAAAGTCTAAAGAGACACTTTTTAATTGTACCTTAATGTGTGTGTGTGTGTGTGTGTGTGTGTGTTTGTAAAAAGAGTCTCTTTATCATTTAGATTCTGTTGCTAGTCGCTGACTAAATGTAGTGGATGCTACGTACATGTATTTGAAACTTCTGACAGTTTTTTCCGAATCTATCCAGCTGCTTGGGTAACTATTTTCTTGTACAGAAAGACGTCTGTATTACCAGGAAGTACAAGCTAACAAGAAAGCATCATGTTTTGAGCTTATCCACTTTACTTTACTACAGTAACGGTATAATTTGTAGTAGGAAACTAACCTGGATTTGAGCCTGGTCTTTCCGAAGTCCTCTCTCTCTCTCCCCTACCAACAACACACCATGTCTGTCTCTTCTCCCAACTACAGTCTGCTGTAGAGGTCAGAGGTGACTTCCCAAAAGCAGGGGCACATCCTATGTGGGTGTCAGGTTACTCCGCTGGGGATGCCCTGCCAAGGTCTGCACAAGTACAGGGGCTGACAGGAGGGTTAGCTCAAAACAGCTGGAGGGGCACAGCAGGTAGGGGACGTTTAGGGGCTGACAGGTCAGGGATTGTGTGAGTTCGGAATTCTTCTTGTGGCTTACCTGGATGGGAAAATAAAATTACTGGTGAGTCGTCATTTGGAAAGACATACACACAGACATGGAAGAAAAGGCAGACGGGATTCAAGCTCGCACTAAGAGGATTTAAGTTTCACAGCTGAAAAGAATTAATGTCATGGAAGTTTCAGGTGTTGACAGCTACTGAACATAGTTTTTTCAAGGCCATTCATACCCTAGAAATGAGAAATCAAAATACTGGTACTATACTTGTCCTCGTTATTTTACATAAAATGTTGGAAAGATAGGAATAGGAACATAGAATCAGTAGCTGACAGGATTCAAACTCAGACAGAGCAGAAAACTTCACAGCTGACACAAATTAACATAAAGGTTTATAGTGTTGAAAGCCTGGGTTAGAGCATGGAAGACATTTTCTTTATGGCTATCATACCTGGAAAGGAGACGCTAAATACTTGGTTCAATTTACATTTAGAACTTGACAACACACAGACTCAATACTGAAAATAAAACCACAATGAACATTTCAAGACTATTTTACTGGACTGAGGGAAAATTGAAATTGAAGAATTGCATTGCATGGACTAGATTTCGAATACACTATTAAGATGTGATCTTCAAGTTCAACATACTGGTTAGTCTAAATTTAGAAGGACACTTTGGTATATTTGGCATCTCAAAAACTCTAGTGACTTTGAATTTGGATTGACAGTAAGAATTCGGAAAATCTTATCAACTACCACCTCTCACCTGCCTCCCTTATCTTAATGGTGAATTTAGCCTTCAAAAACTGTACCTAGCTTAGGACAGAAATCTTTATTCAACTTGGCTTTAAAAAAGACAAAACCGTAGTTTTTATGAAGGCACATTTTCCTTTGAAGTAAAGTAATCGATCTAGATATAAGGCCACACCAGTTTAATTTCTTGGTTAACGGATTCGCCTGCTTCATTTTTTTTCTGATTTGCAAATAAAAATAAAAATAAAAATTCAGAATCAACTGCAAAATGCTAATATTTTGCCCTGCACAGTTAAAAACAGTCCTTTTCATCCTAGTTGTTACAGTTATTCCATCTTTCAATGCAGTGGTATCATTAAAAGTTTAAAATTTATTGGTTGAATTTTGAACCAGCCTGGTGTGCTGACTTTATGGCTCCTATGGTACCATTTTGGGCCATAATAGGATGCCTAGGCCTGTTTTTATTTTTTATTTTTTTCGCCCGCCCGCTCCATTATTTTTCTAGAAAAATCCGTTAACCAAGAAATTAAATTGATGTGGCCTAAGCCTGCTTAGACATATTAACCTTATAACTCAATACAAGGGTAGTGAAAATGGCATATTTTACTGCCAACTGTATATTTTGCATATTCATAAATCAAAGAGGGTAAACAGTGTACTGTATATCTTGAAATGTTTGCAGTATTTAATAGTCATGATGAGGCCACCATGAAATAATGACACTACAAATATGTTTTTCCATTGAATTACTACTGTACTGCAGAATTGTTTCAGTCACAAGCTAAACAAGGCTGAGGCAATAAAAATCATTGCCAAGGCGACGACTGAATGATATATATTATTTCATGTGGTGGAGCTAGCAATCTACATTACAATTATCAGAAAAACATATTTCCCTATGTTATAAAGACATGCATGTAGTGAAATTTACAGGCTGGGTGGAGGAGGTGTGGGGCAATATACCAAATACACGTATAGGAGGAATCAGCCGTTCATCCCCCCCAGCAATATAGATTTTATGATGACATACTTACTTACTTTACTTTGGTCGAGTTCCCGCTAGAACCAAACTGAAAACCATCCTCCACTTCACTCTATCCTCCACCAGAGACTGGATTTTATGTCTGGTCTGAAGTTGTTACTCCTTTGACTTTTTTTTACCTTTTGTGGGTTCCAAAAGGACGGATAATTTCTTTTCTCTCTGTGACCTGTTTGAATATGGTCTTTGGCCAAAGACAGCTGTGCTCTCTGTCCATGGTGTGGGGAGAAGACTGATGACCAGTAATTAATCATGCCAGGCATCTGGATGGGTGGCACGTGGGTACCCGTGTAAGTTACCTGCTTGATCCAAAAACCACATGGCCGAAGGTTTCCTCCAAACCAATTCCCTGGGGAACGCATTCATGCAATTTTTGAAATTCTTTCAAAGCGATCGTAGTACTTACACAAATGCCTCCGCCCCAAAGGCGTCGCCAAAAAGGACTGTGTAACACTACTTTAACCTTCTACATCAAAATGAAGTTACCGTGAAAATCAATGAATTTACAGCACACAGATCAGTTCGTAACCAGTGTTAAATGATTGATTGTCAAGAATCCATCAACATGATTTTGCAGGCCACATAGCATGTCTTTCAGTAGTTATGCCTGTATAAACATTGGAATATTTTCAATTTTGGTGGTCTAACTGTGTGAGGCCAAAAATGTCGCTGCGGTGAACCAAAAATGTACACAAAAAACACCAAGGCCATTTCAAGATTTTACAACATACAAGACTATTACTATAGTATTAGTTACCTATCCTGGAAAATTGGTTTTACAAAGAAAAAAAATATTTACCTGACATCATAATCAAAAATGCCATAGTTTTGTTTATCACTGTTTATTTGTCCTTGCAAGAAGACCAGTATTTTTGAAGGGACTGCATGGGGGGGGGGGGTAGGTGATTACGAATTACGCAAAATTTTTGCAGCGACTATGAATTATGTTTAAATCTCAGAGCTGATTGCGACTTTACGATTTGTGGCTAATGTACACTTACGAATTACGATGATTTTTGAGGAGGCTGCCTACAGATTATGAAGACTAAAAAGGCCCGATTATGCCTTACGAAAAAGGGCATGCAGGCCCTTTTGAGGAATGAGTTGAGCATATCCACTACATGTAATTAGTAAATGCAGTTATCACTGTTGTCCTATCAATGGAAATGCACATTTGCAGACCTGCAGTGTCATGATTTTGTGAAAAGTGCAAAAACAATACCTAGCATTAATGAAGTAACGTTTATAGTGTCTTTGATGTGTCTGTCCGTCTGTGCAGCTGTGTGTTCCACACTGCAGTTTCTGTATATTCTGCCAGGGGGCCTTTAAACGGTGAAGCCTACTCTTTAACTCTGATACTATCACTGATAGTATCAGTGACAGTTTGTGTACTTGTGGCCAGCAGAAATGGGCTATTCCAAAAAATAAAGGAGAATGGGGGGCGGAAGAGGTTGGACTGGACAGGGGGGGTGGGTTAAATACCTGGACTGGACAGGGGGGGTTGGGTCAAATACCTGG